CAGTGTCTTTCATTAAGCATGTGGTGCCAGAAGGGAAGTCTACACTTTATCAGAAGCTTTAGTTAATTCATACTTACTCGACTAGAGAATTTGTAGGAGAAGTTTCAGTTTGTGGTTAAGGTTGTTACTGTTTTCTTTTAAAGAAAACAAAATTTGTTATTTTTTTCCAGATTTGGAATCCGCATATGAGGCTAAGTGTTTAGAAAAGAACATTTGTGAAATCAATTTTTCCAAAAGGAATTCAGATGGAAAACGTAAATCCCTGGGCCTTACCTGGATGTGTGAGGGTGCGGTGGGAAGACCACCGCGTGCTCGAGAGGGCTGTTCGAATCAAGCGACAAGTGGCTCTAGAAAAACACCTGCCAACAAGGACAGCACGCCGCCTCGGCCTCAGCAGAGGCTCCCTAGCAGGGAGAGCTCGTTCGAGTGTAAGGAGTGCGGGAAGGCCTTCAGCCGTGGCTACCAGCTCAGTCAGCACCAGAAGATCCACACCGGCGAGAAGCCCTACGAATGCAAAGACTGTAAGAAGGCCTTCCGCTGGGGTAACCAGCTGACTCAGCACCAGAAAATCCACACGGGCGAGAAGCCCTACGAATGCAAAGACTGCGGGAAGGCCTTCCGGCGCGGCGACGAGCTCACTCAGCACCAGCGCTTCCACACCGGGGAGAAGGACTACGAGTGCAAGGACTGCGGCAAGACCTTCAGCCGCGTGTACAAGCTCATCCAGCACAAGAGGATCCACAGTGGGGAGAAGCCCTACGAGTGCAAGGACTGCGGGAAGGCCTTCATCTGCGGGTCAAGCCTCATCCAGCACAAGAGAGTCCACACAGGCGAGAAGCCCTACGAGTGTCAGGAGTGTGGGAAGGCCTTCACCCGCGTCAATTACCTTACTCAGCACCAGAAGATCCACACCGGGGAGAAGCCCCACGAGTGTAAGGAGTGCGGGAAGGCCTTCCGCTGGGGCTCCAGCCTTGTTAAGCACGAGCGAATTCACACGGGCGAGAAGCCGTATAAGTGCACGGAGTGTGGGAAGGCCTTCAACTGTGGCTACCACCTCACCCAGCACGAGCGAATCCACACGGGCGAGACGCCTTACAAGTGTAAGGAGTGTGGGAAGGCGTTTATTTACGGGTCCAGCCTTGTTAAACACGAGAGGATTCACACAGGGGAGAAGCCCTATGGCTGTAAAGAGTGCGGGAAGTCCTTTAGTCACGGCCACCAGCTCACACAGCACCAGAAAACTCACGCTGGCATGAAAGCTCACGAGTGCAAGGAGTGTGGGGAGGCATATAGTCATACGAGCCACCTCAGAGAGCACCAGCAAATCCACGATAGCTGAGGCACCAACGCCGCAGTGGCGTGTGCGAAGGCCTCTGCACGACAGTCCTTTCCTCGTGACAGTTTACCATGGGAAAGCCTTCAGTAGTTACTGTTTTGTTTATAGAAATCAGAAGTCATTCTTTTTCCTCTCTCTCTCTCTCTCTCTCTCTCTCTCTTTCTTTCTTTCTTTTTTTTTTTTGTTTTTGCCAGCAGGCATGTGCACTCACTGGAGACAGTGAGGGAAAATGAGAAAGCACCCCTACGGGGAAAGGTCGGTGGCATTCCCTTCTCCATCTCTCCCTCCTTTCAGGATTTTTGGGCACATACGCACATGTGCCCATGTCATTTTCAAGCTGCTGGGTTCGAGACTCGAACTACACAGTTGATGATGTGGGATCCGGCCATCTTAACCACCATTCCACTGGCCGGCCCTGAACAGAAATCATTCTAGAGGCAAATTTGGAGAGCAGAAAAATCACTTTTTCTTACTGGTCCCACACACAGAGCATAGACGCTTTTACTGGCTGGGCTAGTGGAATGAGTTCATGGAAGCCTGCCAGTACCATTCCACGTCCCAGTTCAGATCTGGTCCTGCTCATGTCGTGTGTGGGGAAATCTGCTGTGGCATATGCCCTACCAGGGTCCTTGTCCCACCCTTTGCTTCCTGTGACACACTGTGAAACCTGCTTAGTGCGCTGTGCGTGGTCCGTACGGTGCGTGCTTTGTACATAGGGATAATCACATCTGCCTCAGGCCGCCGTGGAAACTAAATGTGCACGTGACCGCCTCGACGGCGTATCTGGAGTCCTGCGTGAGCTCAGTGCGTGTTAACTATTGTTCCTGTGATCATTACTCCCAGTGTTGCTATTAGTGAATTATTCCAGAAGACCCTCTGTGAGTGCAGTGAGTTTAGAAAAGGCTGTCAGACTTCTAGAAGAAACAGGAGACGGTTGTCCAGCCTTAGGTTAGACAGTGATTTCTCAGTGCACAGCAGACACTCAATAGAAAACTCAAAGGCAGATTTCATCGAAAGGACAGTTTGTTCATCAGACGATGCCCTTGCAGGGGAGGGCAGGCAGCAGCCCAGAAGGTGTTCGCCTGCATACACCTGACCAAAGACTCACAGGAACCAGGAAGAGTCCCTCAGGTGGGTACCAGATCCGGGGGAAGAGGGAAACTTGAGCACTTCACAGAAGGTCGCCCAGTGGCAGTAAGTGAAAACGTGTTTGGCGTTATTACTCACCATGGAAACGCAACATCAGACCGCGATGTGATGTCACCAGAGTCCCCAGAGTGGCTAAAGTTAAAGCCACAGTAACCAAGAGCATATGTGTCCGTGTCTCACCACAAGTGGTAAGTGAGGTGCCAAGTGTGTCGCTTCGTTTGAGTTACTCATTCCACATTGTGCCCGCGTACGGAGCGGCACCCTGTACTTGGTGAATGTAATACGGCTATGATTTGTCAGTTAAAAATAAATTTTAAGAACAGTGAGCTAGTTTCTTTGTTGGATATTTCTTGAAGGAAATGGGGCAGCCAACTGAATCTCTGCCAGTTCCTAGAGTCCCCCGGGCAGGGGTGGGCAGGCAAGCGCTCAAGTCCTGGGGGAAGGGCCAGGCCCCAGGGTGGAGTCCTGGGAGAGCTGGGGAAGCCCTTAGACTCAAGAGAGGAACTTGAGCTGTCTTTGGGTTTTTTTTCATTCCATGAGTGACCAAGAGAAATAAGCAGCACCCCAAACAGGGTCCTGGTGCTGCAGCCCACTCCCAACGTCACCAGTCCTGGGTCGTGGGCACGGGCGCCCAGCGTCTTCAGGGAGGTCTCCAGGTTTGAACTGGGAGCCTTCTCACGCGCCATTGACTCCTGAGAGCATTGCCTTTTACTGCTGTGCCACCATCTGGCCCCTGAGCTATCTTAAGAAAGGTGTCTGAGCACGAAGATAAGACGGGGAGAGGACTAGAGCCATAGCGGAACCGAGGGTGTGGGTGGGGAGGGGAGGTCCGAGAGCCGAGGGGGTGGGCCTGGAAGGAGTGCCTGTGCATGTGACAGGAGTGACCAGAGCTCGGGGACAAGTTCCCGAAGGCTGAAGAAAGAGGAGCCTCGGAGAGCTGGGGCGGGGCTGGGGTGGGGTGCTCCGGGCAGCCTGGGTGACCTCACGGGCCACAGCTGGTGCGGGGACCTCAGCAGGGCATGGTGAGCTCCAGCCCCTGGTGTCCCACAGAGGCTGACAGCATGCTCTGGTTTTCTTTTTCTCTTGTATATTTATTTGTTATTTTTTTGATGAGAGAAAGAGAGAGCAAGCCGCCAGGTTTGAGACTCGAACCATGGTTGGCCATATGGGAGTTCAGCACCGCAACCACCACGCCACCTGCCGGCCCTGCCCTCTGGTTTTCTCAGGGCCGGGCTGCACTTGGGTTAAAGCTTAGTCCTGGGCTCACACACACCTTGGTGCTGGATTAGGTAAGGGGGAAGGAAGGGGAGCATGTTTGGGGCAGGGGCACCTCCTGCCAAAGCTTCGGTACCCTTAGAGGTTAACCTCCTCGAGAGATTAACGTCTTTCTGGCACCCCCCTCTCCTGTGGACTCTGTCCTTGTCGGCACAAGGAGCCTGAGTCTCCTCCTCACCACCAAGAACGAGAGGCAGGGCCCAGATGGGGCGTGGGGGTCAGGGGACAAGGGAACAGGAGTGTGGTGGGGAGAGCTGTGAGGACGAGGATCCTCAGATCCGGAAGAGCAATGACGGAGGACCAGGACCAGGACGAAAGGTGGAGGAGCACAGGTGGTGGGGTGGGGTGCTGGTGGCCAGAGGGGGCAGCCGGGGCTGCTGGGCAGGCGACGTGGAGTGTCTGGGCTGGCTGCGGGGGCAGAGACCCAATCCCCATTAGCCTGAGGCATGGGGACAGTGAGGAGCCCACTTCTGTAAGGGTGTAGCCGGGTCAGCCTCCCCGGACTCAGGGCTCCCAGAGCTCAAGGGCATTTGGGGCTTTTGTGGGGGTGGCACAGCTGCCGCTCAGGCAGGCAGGAGCGCCCACACTCCCCACGTACAGACAGGGTCCCCGCCCTGCCGGCTGCATGGCCAGGTGGATTCAGGCCTCCCGAGGTGCCTGCCGAGCCTCAAGATCTCTGGAGCTCAACTGGGGCTCATGGAGGATGCCCAGAGTTCTGTTTCATTTTGGGTTTCTTGGGGTTTTTTTGAGAGAGATTTTTGCTATGAGTACCTGTGCTCGCCAGAGAGACAGAAAGAGAACTCACTCCCCAGGGGGTGGCCACGTGCAATCCCTTCTCCATTCTCTTAGGATTTTAGGTACACACGCACATGTACTTAGTGTGTTCAAAGCTGCCAGGTTCAGGACTTGAACTGCTTGTTCAGCCATGTGGGTTAGGCTGCCTTACCACGCCACCTACCAGCCTCAAGTGTAATTTCTTTTTTTTTGGAGAGGTTTTTGCTATAGGGTGCGTGTGCTTGCCAGACAGACAGAGAGAAACAGAGAGACAGAAAGCAAGAAATCACCTCCAGGGGGGATGGCCACGCCGCAATCCCTTCTCCTCCATTCTCCTCTCAGGATCTTGGGCACGCACACACACACACACACCCAGCATGAGTTTAAGCCACCAGGTCTGGGACCTGAACCGCAGTCGACTACATGGGACTCCAGCGACATAGCCATTACGCTAACTGCTGGTCCCTCAAGTGTAATTTCTAATGCCAGTCTTTATGTAATCCTGTTTTTTCAGTGTCTCTCTGGTCCCCACTCGGGCTTCACCACACTACTGCTCTATTAACATTCTGTGGAACTCTACACTTTCTCCAGTGTGTGCTGGTGCCTGCTGGACCTGCCACCCACTGTGTCCCCTCCTGCCTGGTGACCGTCTTGTGTCCGCACTGCAGCCTGCCCCATGTTCCCACCCTGGACTCTCGTTCCCACCACCTGGAAGGTGCTCTCTGCTTCACTGCGTCAACTTTTAAACCTGCAGCTGCTTCCCCGCATGGCCCTTGTACTCGTGGGTGCGTGGTAGCCCTGGCAGCTGCCCCTGGTCTTGTGCAGTTCTGCTCCGTCCCTCTCAGCACCCAGTAAAGCAAGAGTGCGTAAGCCCTGCTCGGGTTCCCGTGTGAGAGGCCAAGGGTGCCTCCGTGCAGCTCTCCCTGTCACAATGTCGCCCTTTGCGTTTGGTGCATATTTTCAACAGGAATTTCTGGGGCCAGCAGGAGACGGCAAAGGCTCAGGCCTCCCACGTGGCCGACTGTGGTTTGAGTCTCGGGACCTGGTGGCTTGCTTTCTCACTTTCCCCATCACGGTCTGTCTCTGA